GGCAGCCTCCTTATTTTAGCAAAGCAGCCAGACAAGAAGGAAATCTGCCCAGACGCAGGGGCTGAGAGATTGTTGTGCAACCAAAGACTGACTGCTTCACAGAGCCATGCACTTGGAGGCAGCTGATTTCATCTATCATTAGTGAAGTTTCAAATGGACTGGGTTTTTAATCTTTTTTTCTGGTTGGAGTTTGTCTGTTACAGCTCACATTTGCAACACCACCCTGGAAGAAGGAAATCTCGATTACAGCAGCACGGAACATTGTTGCTTAAATTAGCTGAACCAGTCTTGCATGAACTACAATTGTAACCTTGGTTGCTCATCTTTCTGTTTTGGGAAGCTGTTAAAAAAATTATTTCACTCCATCCAGAAATATGTATTTAATAATATATGGGTGTTGCTTCACTGTGTTGAGGTGTAAATTTGGAAATGTACAGCTGCAGTCAGAGACATTTCTCCGGGACATGGTTATCCTTATTGGCTAGTGTAGAGATGGAAAATTCCATTTACTATCTTGGCTGGTGTCACAAGCTGGAAACTTTGACTTTTTTCGTTCAAATACAAAAAGCATTTAGCTCTCATTATATTGGATTTTTTTAAAAGGCTGTGATGAAACTGGATGAGAGCCAGTGCTGTCCTTTGCTCCAAATCTGTAGACACAGTTTCTGTACAATTGCTTGCACTAGAACTTGGGCAAGTTTGAAGAGAGTGGAAATCAAAACAGATTTTATTGATTTCATGGATAGTTCTGAGGGGTCTCCTCTTTTCAGACTCAGAGGAGGAACACTAAAGCAGTACAAAAGTTCACCAGTCCTCTCACAAGTGCAATGCATGGAAAAGCAAAGCACCTTCAGGTATTGCCAGCTACCAGCTGGAAACTGGTAAACCAGAGCTGCTGCCTAGAGTCTTTGTACAGGTGTAGTACTATGCTGAATCCTGTCCCTTGACCTTTTGCCCCTGAATGGTGCTAATTGTTAGTTAGCAATACATGTCCTGATGCAAGAGAGTTGGGAAGATAGCTGGGAAACATTATAAGAGGGAATTGGCATGTACAGAGGGAAATTTGGATAGGAGAGAATGAGAGATATAAAAGAGAATAAATATGGAGTGTAACGTAGGGAAGGAAGAGGAGAGGGAAATAAGGAGAACAAAAAAAAAAAGGAAACACTGGAGACAAAAAGTTGTAGTATAACTTCTTATAGGAGAATATAGTAGAGGGGAGTAGAATCGAGAGAAAAAAAGATAAAATATTCAAAGAAGTGCAGGGTTGTGGTTGTACATTGCCTGGCAAAATAATTCACTGAAAAGATAATGCAGTGCTGGGTGGATTATACATCACAATGTGTGTGTCACAGTATTATGGTAAAACTTTGAGATAAGAGTTATAGTATTTCTCTAGAACTGAGCACCTTGAGGCAATTTCGCTTCTTATTAACATTATCTTTCCTCCCTGCAGTTTATTTGTCATTTCATGTCTTATTTCTACACAGAAAAAGAAAATTATTGTCCATAGTTTAAAGTTACATGATAAGACAGCAGTTTCAGCCTGTCAGTTCAGTATATGATCTTGGGATTTGCAAAAAACATATTCAGTGTCTTTCTGCAATGAAGATTTTTCATGTTGTTCTTTGTACTACTGCAGTAACTAGAAGTCCAGACACATGCAGGACACATGCAAGGGGTTAGCCCCAGACAGCAGCCAAACACCTACACAGCCTCCCACTCACTCCCCTTCCCTGCAGGATGGGGAGAAAATAGAAGGAAGGTGAGAAGACCCATGCAATGAGATAATGACAGTTTTATGAGGAAAGCAAAAGCTGCACACACAAGCAAAGCAAACGGAGGAATTCATTCACTGTTCCCGTTCGACAGGCAGGTGTTTACCCACCTCCTGGAAAGTAGGATCTCAGCGTGTATTTGTCCCTGGAAGTGTTCAAAGTCAGGTTGGCTGGGGCTCTGAGCAATCTGGTCTAGTTACAGGTGTCCCTCCCCATGGCAGGGGGATTGGGAATAGATGGTCTTTAAGGTCCCTTCCAATCCAAACCTTTCTCTGAGTCTGTTACTCTATGTGTAATGGTTGCTTGGGAAGAGAAGCACCATAGCCTTAAACATTTCCCCTTAAACCTCCTTTTCTTAAGCTTTTACCACTGAACACAACATCTCATGGTCTGGAATATCTCTTTGCTCAGTTGGAGCCAGCTGTCATTCCCAATGTCTTGCTCACTTGCAGGCCTACTTGCTTTGGGGTAAAGGGAGGGAGATGAGAGAAAGAAAGCCTTGCTGCTGTGCCAGCACTGTTCAGCAGCAGCCAAAAGACTGATGTGTTGTCAATAGGTTTTTAAACCCATTGAGCCCAGCACCACACAAGGTGCTGGGAAGGCAGTTTAACACACCCACACCCAGTACATCACCAATGTATGGGACTTGCAGGCCTACTTGCTTTGGGGTAAAGGGAGGGAGATGAGAGAAAGAAAGCCTTGCTGCTGTGCCAGCACTGTTCAGCAGCAGCCAAAAGACTGATGTGTTGTCAATAGGTTTTTAAACCCATTGAGCCCAGCACCACACAAGGTGCTGGGAAGGCAGTTTAACACACCCACACCCAGTACATCACCAATGTATGGGATGTTGCACCAGTGGGAAATCCCGTACCTCACAGTCATTATTTAACAGCTGGATACAGAGGAGTGATAATGTGTGGTACAGAACAGTCAGGAATGATCAAGAGGATGAGCAGTAAAGTAGCCCTAGCATTAAGGATTATGACAGGAAATAAATATGTTTCCATTTTACAGTGAGCTTGGACTCTCATTTTTGGTTGTTATGTGTGCTGTAGTAGCAACAGATTGACCATAAAGCAACTCTGATCAGACCAATCTTTTCCTACTGGTTTGCTTGTTCTGTGGCTTCCTCCTTGGGTGATTTTCATGCATGCTTGTCTCTTACATCTGTGACCTGTTGATTGTTGATTTGGGCTTTTCAAGAGTGGGTCTGGGGGAGAAGGGTGGGGGCTTTCTTTTGTTTGTTTGGGGTTTTTTAGTGGGCATGGATTCTCATTCACACTGTAAAGGAAAACAGTAATCTTGCCCTGGAAGTTTATTAGTAGTGCTCAGAAGTTTTGCCTTAGTTTACATGTCTAAAGTGTTTTGAAGGTGAAAAACTTCTGCACAATGCATGTTAAGTCTTTATTAGTCCACATTTGGCAAATGGGGGAGCTGAAGTGGTGTGAAACACATGATTTACTGAAGTTCCAGCAGTAATATGGTTACAGAACTGGGGTCAGGGTTCAAGAGCCAGTGACATTCAGTTTCTCCCTTGTGTCAGTGTTTGCGGAAATGTGTGTTTGCCTGTGGAAATGCATCTCAACATGCTCAGAATGTTAGGCTTTCCTTTGCAGTAGGTTCTTGTCAGTATTGGAGATCATGCTGGATATATTTTTGTGCAGGTGGCTGTGTCTGAGGAAAATTTAATTCTCTCCAAATGTTATAAAAGAATTAAGTATTGGCAATAAAGCCAGAGCTTTATTTATGACATCTATTAGAGCAGGACAGTAGAAAAAGATCATACAAAGCACTTACACAGATTGATTCCTGGGTTATAAAATTGTTCTGTGGTCAGATAAACTACAGTCTTCTACCACATGAGCAGAAAATGCTTAGTGGTGCCAGCTGGCCTGTGGATACATGGAGAGCAAAGCAAGTCCTTTCCTTTGTTACCCTCGGGGCACTAGTGAGGAAAATTGTACCTGTAATCTCTTGACTGGTGGGTATGCAGTTGTCTGCCCATTCCTTGGAGCAGGTGATTCTCTATTAAGCTTCTTTGAACTTGCCAGCTTGGCCCAGGCTTTTCCATCTTTGCTGGTGCACTCCAGCACAATGTGTTAGTGAAGGGGAGCACAGCCCATTAGTCCTGAGATGCAGGCAGCTCTTGCACAGTGTGACTCATGACAGGACTGCAAACTGTAGGAGGATCTAGCCACCGGAGAGGCTGAGAGTTGTGTGGCTGGCTTGCTCTGGGTCCCAGCATCATGCCCAGCACACTCCTGTGAAGCTGAGATGTGTGAAGCTGAGCTTTCTCTGTAACCTAACTGCATCTGCAGGACTACAGCCCCCTAAGAGCGAGCACAGGGTGTTAGGTGGAATTCAGACCATCCGAAATTAGAAATATAGCGGCGTCTGGGCCTTTTCTCCAGTGTGCATTTGCCTTAGGAGTAATTGGAAGCTGGATCTTCCTCCTGTATATAATCTCTTCTTACTACAAAGGCATGATCCCTCTCCTTTCCTTAAGAAGGAGTTGAATTTTCCTGCAGTGGAAAATTTACTTCCTTGAAGTCTTGATACACATTTTCCTTGTATTTTGCTGAGTGTAATAACCACCAGTGGTTTTCAGATACTCATTCTTTGTCAGGGACAAGAAAAAACAAGGAAGAAAACAGCTGATTTTTAAAAAGGAGCGGCATTTCCAAGGAACATTTCAAGTAGCATTTTGTAGCACAGGGAAAGCGAATTTATCACTCTTGTCCAGTCCTTCTCTATCCTCTCTAGCCTGAGAGACACAGAAGGAAAGTGTTCCATTCTGAACAGATTGTTGTAATGTCTGCAGGCAAGGAACTACAGGCTGGTTAGCTTCACCTCAGTCCCTTGGGAGATGATGAAGAAAATCCTCCTGAAAAACATTTCCGAACACGTGAAGGACAAGAAGGTATCAGGAGTAGTCAGCATGGATTTACAAAAGGGAAATCATACTTGACTGGCCTTTCTGCCTTCTGTAATGAGGTGACTAGCTTGGTGGACAAGAGAAGAGTGATAGATGTTGTTTACCTTGATGTCAGTAAGGTTATGGTCTTCCACAACATCCTGACAGACAAGCTGACAGGGTATGGATTAGATAAGTGAGCAGTGAGATGGATTAAAGACTGTCTAAATGGCCAGGTGCAGAGGGTTGTGGTACAAAGTCCTTGGATGCCAGTCACTAGTTTCATACCCCAAGGGTTAATGCTGGGGATGGTGTTGTTCAGCATCTTCATTAATGGCCTGGATGATGGGGCAGAGTACACCTTAAGCAAATTTGTAGATGATGAAAATCACTGGGAGGAGTGGCAGATGAGCCAGAGTGCTGTGGTGACATGGAGAGGGACATTGACAGGCTGGGAAAAGAGGAATCCCATGAAGTTCAACACAGGAAATGCCAAGTCCTGTATCTGGGGATATGTGAGGGTAAGCCCCTGCATCAGTACAGGCTAGGGGCCACCTGAACTAGAAAGCCATTTTGCAGAGAAGATCTTGGGATCTTTGGTGGGCAACAAGCTGTCTATGAGCCAGCAATGCACTTCGGTGGTAAAGGTGACCAACAGCATCCTGGGCTGCTTTAGGAAGAAGACTGTACCAGGAAAGAGCAAATTCTGCTTCATTTTTTTGTAGAGATGAGTTAACTTTAAATCAGAATGTAGTTTAGGTATGTGAGTGTATGTCAGTGCTATTCAAGAGGCAGGATTTTCCACAGGCACATTGCAGAGGATGTGGTTACCTCTTCCCTGGCTCAAAATCGAGAAGAGAATGCAGACTCTGTTAAATCTTTTCTGTCTGGTAACGGCAATTGCTGACTGTCATTAGCTCCCATTGACTTCACTGTGAGATACATACCAGTGTCCCTAAACACTCTTCATGACTTCCTTCAAATATCCAATAGAAAGTCAAGAAATGGATTAGTTTAAGCTGATCAGCTTCTGTGAAACAGAGTAAATACGGAACTTCATTTAAATCCAAAAATCCCTCCTTGGAGTTGATTGATGCATATGTCCTTTGCTTTGCTTCTGAGAAACCAGAAAGCACTTAAATAGTAGCGTCCTGCAATGTGTCCCTCACCCTTTTTGTAAGTCAGGTCTAGAGCATTGATAAATATTGTGAGGCACATTGAAATCTTCTAATGAGCCTGAGCATCATTTGACCTGCAGTTCTGGTCACAGTGGCTCACTGGGTGTGGATTACATGTGTGTTGCTCTCACATTGTGAAATGATATATTGAAATGGAAATAGCAATGCTCTGGATTTTTTTGTGCCTCCAGTTTTTATTTTCAAGGAATAATAACCTGCTCCCCTGAGCACAGATGCATAAAGAACACTCATAACTTTTGATCACTTTAGAGCTTTGCCATTCATTTCTCTGTGTGCCACAAACAGACTTCTTAAGATGTATGTTGAACTTTATCCCAGACAGTTACATATTAATCATTTTATCACTCAGTTCTCTGGAAACAGGAATCCTAGAGGAAAGAAAAAATACAGTCATCACACACTATATCATGATAAACCAATATCTAGTGAAGGAACTTCAGTATTTGTCACTTTTAAGGGACAAATGACGTTAGGTGGCTCTACTTCCTACCTTTGCTTGCATTCTTTTTCAGCAGTTTTAAACTCTGACTGTACCTGCTAGCCATGCAGGCAATATAGTGTGGCAGATGTGGTATAGCTTTGCATAAAGTTGTTGATAAGGGCCCCTTTGCACCTATCCTGGGAACCAGAATTACATGCCTCCAATCAGAGGTCCCTCTTTAGAAATTGCAGGTAAATCTCATGTTGCAAAATTTATGCTAAGAAAGTAAATCTTTGAAAGAAATACCTCTTGCCATGCAGTGATTTCTTCCTGTCTCTGTGCTGAGGCACATCTGAAATCAAAGAGGGGAGAATCTTAACTAATTGGTTTTGGAGTTATTTTAATCGTTAAGTACTCTTGAAATGGAAAGCATGTTTGTTCAAATCCACAGTTCTGCCTCATCCTTAGGAACTGAACAGATTCTTCACTGAGTGGTTGTTACCTTGCATCTTCTTATTTCTGAGGCATATAACACCTCAGGTGAATTTTCTGTCCTTGGATGGCTCACATTCTTCTTTATGGTTCTTCTCAAATTTTTATACCTTTTAACTGAAAAGAAAAAATACTTTTATGCTTCCATGAAGTTGAATGAACTGGGTCTAATTTAAACTAAGGGGTTTTTTACCAGTGCTTTCTATTACTTGGATGGTGGTTGTACTTCAAGGATTCAGTCCTCCTTATCCTTTATATGCCTTAAAAAAAGTTGCTGAAGTTAATCATTCAAGCATGAAACGAGCCAGAAGGCATATTTAATATTCCTGTGAATTAATGCTTCCTTCTTGATTTGTACAGTGTAATTGAAACTAGGAACTGATTATTGTGAAGACATCTGAATAAGGGAGACCCCTTTTAGCTTTTGGTGGTTAGAGGTGTGTTGTCCTCATCCCACCTTTATCCAAGAACAAGACTTGCTGTGACTTCTTGTTAAGTCTTCCTGTGGAATGAAACTTCATTCAATTTAGTTTTAAATTATGAAAATAATAGTTGTGTCTTGCATTGCTTCAAGTGTTCTCCTAGATTACAGGGTAAATGATCTTCTGAGTGTTCAGGTTATTCAACAGCTAAACCAGACAACTCTGCTCCTAAATTAAGATCCAAGGAACTGAGATGGATGGTCTTTGGCAGCCTGAGCCAGAGTGGTACTGGTTGCTGCCATCCTGCTTGCTCAGTCCTCCCTATCCTTTCCATTGGAGTCCTGACTTCTCCATCACACTCTCTTGCTCACCTGACCCTGCCTCGTGTGGTGGCTGAGCCAGAGTAAAGCTATTTGCTTTTTCTAGTAATTCACTTTTCTGTTGGCTTAGTACACTGAGGTGGCCCAGCACAGACGAATGGAGGAGCCAGCACATGACAGGGAGTGAAATCTGGGTGGGACAGAGAAGATGACAAAGAGCGTGGCCCCTCGTGGAGCTTAATGTAGACCTGCTGTATGTAGACATAGATTGAATAAAATCACATTCAGATTATCTCAGAATTGAAGAACTGGGCCAGAGTTCTTTAAATGCTGAATTGTGGAGAGCATTGCTTTGTTATCTTCTAACAAATGTAGCATCTCAGAAAGCTCTGCCACGCACAAGGTGCAAGATTTATGCACTTAGGATTCCCCAGTGGCTAGGCTGTGAGACCCAGAGATCAGGTGTGGTACTGACAGAAGCCCTGAATCTGCAGGATGTTGCTCTGATGTTACACTCCCAAACCAAAGGGCAGGAACATATTTGGGGAGACAGGGACTGAGCAGTGTCATGAATTTTCAAAGGCACGTGTAACCTCTACGCTTGAGAAGCACAGGGTATGATCTAGCCCTGCACCTCTTAGTCCTGTCTTGCCTGTCCTATATCTGTTTCAAAGGTGGGAGGAGATGTAGGCTTGCTGTAGTGCAGAGGCCTGTCCCTGGCTTGGACTGAGCATCACTTACAATGCTAATATCAACTACTCCAACTACCACAGTAAAAATAGTGGAGCTGGACCAGATCTGATAATAGTTTAGCCAGTTGTGTGTGAAAGAATCCAGAGCATTGACTTTTCTCTTTGAGTCACCTTTTTGAGAAGGTTCACTGTAGAGCCATTGATGAGACTGTTTGGATGGAGTTTGGTGAAAGTGTCAAGTTCTTATGATGTTCTTATGCATGTACAGAGCTTTTGGTTGCCCTTGTGCATGCTTATATTTAGCTTGTCCACTAAAAACTGAGCAGTTGAAACTCAGTTAACACTGGCAGGGTGAATCTAAGCTATGTTGTTTGGGTGTTGGGGATATTTTTTTTCTCCTTTAATCTTAAGGAAATTATGATAATGAATGCAGTTGGTTAGGAGTTTGGAAGATGAGTGTGCAGGAAAGGATAGTGCAGACTTGAAGTGATGGCTTCCTCAGTTAATAGTTTAATGTCTTGGAGAAACACTTAAAATGTGAATCATTACTGCTTCTGGCTGACTTTAGATGAACTAAAAATTACAGTGGCTGAAAGCATGTTTTGACGAAGTCTGTAATGAGAAAATATCTGAGTATATTCTCAGTAGATTTATTTTGATCACCCAGGTTAGCCAGGCTGGTGGAAGCAGCAAGACTAGTAAAATAAACAAATAGCTTTAGGTTAAAAAAAAATGAAATAGCTTTTCTGCTTTGCAAGCTTACAGCTGAAAGAAATTGTACCCTAATGCTTTATAGTTTTATGTGACAGTGTTAATGCATTAAAGCTTTGTAACTATTGTATTGGAGGTGGGGTGAATTAATAAATTCCTCCAAATGTTTATACTATTTGCTATGATACTGCCTTACAGTCTGCTAATACTACTGCTCTGTAGGCAATAGAAAAGGAACAGTAAAACTTAGCTCAGTTGCAGCCCGGTCCTCTGATTTTGAATGTAAGAAGTGTCACTAAATGAAAAGAAAGGTGCATGTCTTCATGGACACCTCTGTTTTTACAGCTTTCAGTGATTTCCTTCTGAAAGACTGCAGGGTTTAGATGATTCAGTTGCTGGTGCAACTCCAGGCACTGAGTTCCTTTTCTGTATTTGAAACCTTCTTCTATTGTACATAGAGACTTCAGGTTGGGTTCTTCCGGCTGAAGCTGCTGCTTACCTTCTGGCAGCTGGCTCTTTCCCCACTCTTAATGTTGATTCAGCTCATTTAACAGCAAATTATAAAACAATATTAGCATGCTCATTACTTTGTCCTCCATTTTGTTGGGACCACCCAATTTGCACAGATATTTGTCTTCAGTTTCTAAGTGCCATTTTGTTGTATTTAAAATCATCTCTACAACCCTCTGAGCACCACTGTAAAAATCATTAATGTGCCTTTTGTCTTCCAGATCTCACTGCTGATTGGATTCATCAGCGTAAATAATTCTCCGTGGAGAGATTACAGCGCGTACAGCTTCTTTCAGATTGTCACCATGTGTGACTTGGTTATGATTTTGTTCTTCTACATTATCTACATTTTCAGAATCTACAGGAAGCTCACTTGTGTTAGCTGGCCACTTGCGGTAAGCCTGCAGATCATCTCAGTTCCTTGCCTCTCTCGGGGATGTTGTCTTAATTTCTTAGCCCATTTACTTGTGCTATCTCACAATGACAGATTGTCTTTCACTTAATTATTTTTTGCCTTGTATGCAAATCTTTTTGTTATTAGTATTCAGTTCAGCAGATGCTGTAATTCTAAGATTTTGGGCTGATTTGGATCTGATCCTGACCTCCTTTACGCAGATAGAAATCCACATTTACTCCAGGGAAGGCAATAGCATTATTCTGAGACCATTGAAAAGAAGCTACTGATTCTCAGGCCTTCAGCTCAGGTCATTTAGAGCAGCTAAAATACCAAATCATAGCATTAGAATTCATGTACTACATCCTGTCTCAAAATAAAGTCTGTGAGTGCTATTTAAGTCAAATGTGTCTTTTTGGTATGGTTTTAGGTAAGTGATACAATAGCAAGAAATAGGAGCCTGATTGCCATAGCCTGGCCATTCCTGGGATATCCTGCAGGATGTTCCTGCCTCATTCCTGCATTTCCCACACACATCCATCTCTCATATCCTAGCAGAGAACTAACAAGCAGCATAGAAAATGTGAGACCTGAACTTCCTCGGTAGCTCTGGGTCAGGTCAGCTAACAGAGGAGTTCTGCATCCTAGTATGGAATGATGGATTTTTATAACACTTCACAACATGCCTCCCTTATGCATAGTGACATGTTAGTTCCACAGAGGAAAGACCAAAGGAATGGGGAAAGCCAACTGTAGATATAGAGGGATTTTGAATTCCAAGAAGTTGTTGGATGGCATTTAATGAAAGCTATGTAAGTAGTTTACAGATCTAAGATAACGTTTTATCCATCCATCCAAATCTAACCAGAGAGAAAAATATAATTTTTTTTTTAGCTGAAGAATATGGTTAGACTTCTTTTTTTTTCAAATGTGTGCCACCACTATCTGTCTCTAAAGGTGTACTTATTTATCTAGAGGTAATACAGATGCAGGGATAGAAATAAAGGACTGAAGTAAGTTAATAAATGACAGTTTTGTAAAGCAGCATTTAATGTGTGCATTGATGTAATAGGGCTATGCCATTTTGGCCTCTGTTTAGGCTGCTTTTGTGTTTTCCTGTTGTGTGTTTCATCATTCCTCAATGTTCCAGAGTCCCTAGTGAGTTTAAGGCACTGCAGTTTGCAGCTGCTCAGCTTCTGGTAGCTTTATGGGATGTGATGCTTGAACATCGCTGCTCTTTTACAAAACAAGCAACCTCATTTTCAGTCACATATTTAAGTATCTTTGGAACAGAATAGGAAGACATGTAGGAGACTTTGGGAAACTACAGCTAGCATTCAGATGAGTTTTCTGGCAGGATCTCTACATTGCAATCAGGGGCGTGATTTGCAGTCAGTGAAGCTGGAGTGGTTCAAGAAGTTGTTCAGCGCTGACACCTTTTAAATCTGGGAAGTATTTCTCCAGAGGGGCACTCTCTTGGCCATGCCAGGGGTTGGTTCTCCACCTAATTTAGCCTTTGATGATTCTATTGCACATCTATTTGCCCATGCCATAGATTCATCTAAAGTAGTAGCCTGTGTACACTGCTTTATTTGTTGTCTCTAAGCAGGCAGTGGCAAGCCTAATTTGCCTGCTGTGTCATGGACTAGCCTGAGAAGCCTCCTTATGGAAGTAATTTATTCTGGCCAACGCAAGGTTGAGATCTTGATTACCCAAAACAAAGTTACACATAAGGCAAGTGAGTTGCAGTCTAAGAGCCTGCTTTATGGCAAAAATCCTTCTTAGCTCTCTAAAAACACCTGAGCAGGAGAAACTGGTGTGGTATGATAGTTTATCTTATGGGCTTTCCTTGAACAATTTCCTTTTGGGACTATCTTTTGGTTTGAGACAGAATCTCTCCTCTCCCTTATACATGGCATTTGCTTGGCTCATGCTGGTAGTGCAGTGCAGTTAAAGGAAGCAGATACCTCCTGCCCAGCTCACCATGCACAGGAAGCAGTTCAGTTTGCAAACATCCATACTGGTTGCCAAAAGCTTTGTGAGGATTCAAAATCCCAATCCACAGATAACCCCTGCTTTTAACAAGGTAAATTTGACTCCTGGCCTGATAGACTAGAGAAGAGCTTAAATGTGGTGACTCAGTGCTCTCTCAGAAAGCATCATGGAGTCGATGACCCTTGAGGTCTCTTCCAACCTGGTTGATTCTATGATCATGTCTTGCTGCAGTTCTGGCATCCCTCCTGTTTTGAGTCTCGGTTGATGTAAGTTGTTAGTAAGTCCAGCAGTGGATCCACTGCTTACTTTCTAAGATTATCAGAAATAGGAGCATTTGGTTTACCACTTACGCCATTTCATATCTGCTAGAGAAATAGGTCCTTAAGGCTTCTTCCTTCCTCTGGAACTATCTCTTTAAGTAAGGTGCATACTTGCTGCAATAAACATACATGTTTCATCCTCAGCAATGTACCATGTTGAATTGAAAGGACTGAATCTATACCCAGTAAGTAAATTTTATTCCAGTGACACTAGTAGACCTGAAGATTGTCCCTCCTTTTATGAACAGATACAGAATCCACTTGCAACATGGATTATTTGGGGCTTTTTAATTTTGCCTTGCTTTGGTTTTTTTTCGCATTCTTTTGACGAGTATTTCGTCCTCTGGTCTGCCAACGGGGCTTTTTAATTTTGCCTTGCTTTGGGTTTTTTTCTCATTCTTTTGACGAGTGTTTCGTCCTCTGGTCTGCCAAGTTATTTTCTTTCTGAGGCATATCAAAATGCTTTCCTGATAAGTTTCCCTTCTGATGCAGGCTGTGCTTGTCTTTCCAGGAGTTTCTTCATTACTTAATTGGCACAATTCTGCTTCTCATTGGATCGATTGTAGCAGCAGCCAAGAGTTACAATATTACGGGACTTGTGGCTGGGGCGGTAAGACTCTGTTTATTAGTCTTGACATTTTTAAAATTGCAATATATATTAAGTAGGTCATTGGAAATCTATTAGTTGTACGTTTATCTTCTTACAGACTTGCCTTGCTTGTGTCTTGGTTGGGTGAACTATCTTCTAGCTGATTTCAGTGAATGTTGTGTAACACAGTGCCAACAGAAATATTTTGCTGTGAGACTTCAGACTCACCACTAAAGTGGGTATTTGTCCTGTCAGAGTGTTGAAACCAAAGGCTTCTGCTTT